AACAGCAGCAGTAGAACCTCCCAGCTCACCCAGCCCAGACTGTTGACCCGCAGGATCATAAGCAAATTCAGTGGGTATTGTTTTAAGCACTAAGTGTTGTCATGAGTATGGAGTGCTATTCAGCAATAGACAACTGAAAAAGTAAGTAAACTAATTTCTCCGAGCCTGTTTCCTCATCTATAAAATGGGGATAATGTTCATATCCATATTGGATGAGCTTGTTATGAAGAGTGAGCGAGGTGAAGCCTGCAAACTGCTGTGCCAGACTCAGGGTTAGCAGCATCAGCATCAAGGGGTCATCGTGGATGTGAGCAGCTCTGCTTAGGGCCTCTGAGGCAGGTGACAGGAGGCGAGCCCTTTGGTGGGTGGGAGGAGTGTGTCTATGGAGGGCAACCCTGGGACAAGAGTGTGACGTAGAGCTTACAGCAAATCACACTGGTAGAGCAAGGCTGGCTAGAATTGTCACAGAATAGTTACAGGGACATGAGGCTGTCCTGAGTTGGGCTGGAAGCCCAGGATTGCAGGGGTTTGAGCTAAGGCAATGCAACACCAAAATGTTCCGAAGATTATGGAGGCCTTCAGGGTCCAGGAACTATGGCAATGAGGAGGCAAGTGTCTCCACAGGGTCATTAAAGGTCAGTCCTGAACATGTGCCCCCTGCTGAATACCTTCCCATGGCTCCCCATCCCACTAAGGAGGATGTTTGGGCCCTGCTTGACTGCAGCCTGGCCTGCAGCATGCCCCAGCCTCATCCTGACCATTCTCTTTCTACTTCACATTCCAGCATACTTCTCAATTCATGATTCCTGGGATGGACCACCTCCTCTCCTACCTCTGGGCCTTTGCACATGCTGTGCCCTCTTTCTTGTATGCTCTTACCCACTCCTCCCCTACTTAACCTGGATAACCCCTACTTGTCTTTAAAAGCTCAGCTAAAATATCACTTTCTCTGAGGAGCATCCTTTATCCTCAAAGTCTGAGTTTGGCTCTCCTCTCATGGTACTCTATCCTTTCTTGATCCCCTGTTATTGTAATTCCTGGTTAGTCTGGGAGGGCAGGGGCCAAGTTTGCTTTGCTCACCTCTGTAACCCCACCACCTAAATCAGTGCCCAGCACACAGTCAGTGTTCATTAAATACCCCTTCCTAATGTGTAAATGATAAATCAATAACTGAATTGAATGGATCCTTAGAGAAAAAGCAACAACAATGAAAAAGAAACCAGAGGGGCCTGCCCGGTGGCGAAGTGGTTACATTTGCACACTCTGCTTTGGCAGCCCAGGGTTCACAAGTTTGGATCTCAGGCACAGACCTACACACCACTTAGCAAGCCATGCTGTGGTAGGTGTCCCACATATAAAATAGAGGAAGATGGGCATAGATGTTAGCTCAGGGCCAATCTTCCTCAGCAAAAAAAAAAAAAGGGAGGATTAGCTAAGGGCTAATCTTCCTTGGAAAAAGAATAAAGAAAAAGAAAAAAAGAAACCAGTGGCTCAGAGAGGGACAGGAGCTTGCAAGGGACCTTCCCAATCAGTGAATCTTCTGCCCAGGGGACCCCATTGTGTCTAGGGACTCAATGTTAGCCCTGGGTCTGACTAGAGGAGCATGAGAGGTGGGCTGAGGTATGAGGAAAGACAGTATGTTGGGCAGAATAACTAAGTGCTGTATCAAACTCCAAAATGTCAGTGGCTTAACACGATGGAAGTTTATAATTCAGTCACACAATAGTGAAAGGAGGGAGTTTCTGGTCAGCTCATGGCTTCCCTCCATGTAGTGAGTCAAGAATTGGTCTTTCTTCCATGAGTTGAAAGATGGTTGCAGTTCCATCAACCCCTAGCACTTCAGAGTCCCCTGCTCCCAGCTGGTGGAAGAGAAAGATGCAGTGGAGAACTCACACCAGCTTCTCAAATACCTGAGCTCCAAAACTGACACACACCACTTCCATTCACCTTCCATTGACAGAAACTAGTCATTTGGCCATACTTGGCTGCAAGGGAGCCTGGGAAATGTAGTCTTTGCTTAGGCAGCCATCTTCCAGTCAACTCTACATTAATAAAGGGAGAGCATGAATTTCCGGTGGACAAATGGGCCCTTGGGTCAGACATGCTCTCCAAACTTCCATTTCTTCATCTATAAAATGAAGGTAACAGTATTACCTCAGAAGATTCTTGAAAATCTTACTTAAATGGCTGAAAGATAAAACCTTTTGCAGATACAGAATAAATGCTTGTCAAATATTCCTTTCCTACTCCGCTTTTTTCTTAACTAGTAGAAATGAGATTTGTCTGCAGGTGATGGTCAGAGGACATCCTGATCTTCTCTTGCCTTCATTTGCCTCCTCTGGTTTTCACAACTCTCTTTTCTTCTTTCTACACTTTTCCGTTTCACTCCCCGTCTTCCTCTTTCCCAGCTTTCTGGTCTCTTTAGGTCTCCAGACTCCCCTCTTTGCCTCCTTGAGCACATTCTTCCACCTCCCCATCACCCAGGCTGTAAAGAGGGTGAACAGCCACTCGGGGTGAGCCCTCCATTAGCAAGAGGCAAGATGCCAGCTCTCTAGACATGTCACTAGGTAGCCCTCCGTCCCCCCTGCAGCCACAGACAGCTCGTGACCTCAATAGAACACACCTTCACACCTGCCACAGAGAAGGGCGCTCAACACCAGCACTTCCGAACTTGCCAAGAGGATAGTAACAGGTGTTAAATGAACAGGAGTCGAAAACATTCAACAAACTCTGGGTTCAGCAGTTTTCCTTCCTGCCGCTCTTTGATTTCAGCGCTGCCAGTATGCCAACGAACATCGTGCATCTCTCAGCGGGGTAGCGATCCATTATTCCTCATTTCCCAAATGTGTCTGGCCATGAAATACTTTCTGTTGAGCATCTCCTGGGCCTACAAGTGATGGAACGCTCTTTAGAAATCGCAGCTCAAAAACGCAAATCAAAGAACAGAGCACATATATAGTTAGCTACACTGGGGCAAGCTGGCTAGGAAAATTTAGCCCATAATTTATTGTCTTTGTTTTTAATACTAATCCCCCCTCTTAAGTTGCTACTATTGTTAGGCCATTTAGAGATTATGTCATATAATTTAAATATCAAACTTACTTGCTTTCGTCCCTGTGTTCCAGCTGAGGACACTAAGATCAGAGAGATTCAGAACAGTGGTGGAGCTGAAACCTGGGGATGTACATATTTTTCATTCCCTCACTAAATATTTGTTAAGTTCCTGGGATGCACCAGACATTTCTCTACACCAAGAGGCTAATCTCTTTTGTTTGTTTTAACCCCATTGGCTAGCTTATAAATACAGATCTTTTGGGTTTAGACCAATAGTTTTCAACCAGGGTGATTTTGCCCCCCAGGGGACATTCAGCAATGTCTGGACACATACTTGGTCGTCACAAGTGGGAGGGTGCTTTTGGCATCTAGCGGCTAGAGGCCCGGGATGCCACTAAACATCCTACAATGCATGTGACAGCCCCTCACAAAACAGAATCATCTGGCCCAAAAGGTCGATAATGGTGAGCTTGGGGATCTCTGACTCAGAGGGCTAACACTTTAAAAATCATCACAAGTGCATGAGCTTGCAGGGGTCAGTTAGGTGACATAAAGGACTGGCTAATTGGACATGCCCAGCCCTATCTCAAAGGGGCAGCGGCTGCTCGGTTCTAGCTGATCATTGCTGCAGGGGACTTATGTTACCATGTACCAGGTGACCAGCTCTTCTCATTTTTCAAGGCAGAAATTCAAATCTGAATGTGAAAATACTCATCTTTTAAACGCTGGCAACTAATCTGACTAGTTTTTCAATGCTTCGCCAGTCAAACAAAATGCATCTGGAAACGTGATAGAGACCGCGGACCACAAGTGTGCAACCTCCCCCAAATGCTAAGGGCACCTGCCTAGCAATGAGGGAGCTGCTGCCGGGTATGTTAAACAATGCTGGCCCCCACTTTCTGGCTTTAGTCTTCGGACTTATTCTGTCCTTCCTAGGTAACATTTGGTGACCTCTTACTATGTACTAGCACTTGCTGTAAGCACACCAAACATGTTAACTCATTTTGTCTTTACAAGAACCCTAAGTAGGTATAATGATGCTCAGAGAGGCTATACACCTTTCCTAAGGTGACACAGCAAATGGCAGTACCAGGATTTGAACCAAGGCAGTGTGGTTCCAGAGTCTACGTTCTTAACTGCTAAACCAGGCTGCCCTGTGGAAGATGTTGCATCTCCATACTCTACAGAGGGAAACTTGCAAGGGACTTCTCTGGCTTATTAGTCAAGCCAGGTAAGTAACAGTCCCCTACTGTGGTTAGCCTGTATTCCCCAAGTGCTCAGAACCTCAGTCCCCCTCGTCTAAAGCCACGGTTCTCAACTGGGGGTGACTGCTCCCTGGGGCACATTCTGCAATATCTGGAGAGATTTTTGGTTGTCACGAATGGGGGCTACTACTGGCATCTAGTGGGTAGAAGCTAGAGATGCTGCTAAACACCACACAGGTCAAATCCCCACAATGAAGAATCACCCAGCCCCAAATGCCAACAGTGCTGAGGGTGAGAAACCCTGATCTAAACACCCGACTGGCAACCTCTGCAACACGCAAAAATCAACCAGCAGAATATTACAGGAGATTCTGTTTATTGAGAACATTATTTTATTTCTGACCTCAAATCCTTCTTTCCTCCTTCTCTTGCCCTGGAATTTCATCGTTCATCCGTTGTCACTGTGCTAAATGCCTACACTGAATAATTCTCTCCTAATACAGTTCTTATACGTTAGCAGCAGCAGAACAAATAAGAAACGGAAAGACTGGCACTAGGCAAAAGAAAAATGAGCATTAACATACAAAACAAATTCTTGAGATTTGACCATAATATCATCTATATGCCTGAAATGTGAATTTTTTTCCTGGATACCCTAAGCTGTAATCACACTCCGGGCCCACATCAAACTTTAATTGCCAAGAACGCCGTCTCTGCTAAACACACACGTGACTGCACCAATTTCGTAAAATGATTTTAATAGAAAAGTACACGATATGAACAAAAATAAATAATCTTTTTCTCATTTCTAATCCAGCAAATTGTACACTGCATATAAAACTGGTCTAAGATGCAGTTTTCCTGGTTCCTTTTTTTGCTTTTAAAATATGGAGACAGCATTTTAATGAAATCTTCCAGATTCAAATTGATACATTCTTGTTTTAAAAAATCATATCAACCTTTAATCATTCTACATCCATTTTCTCCAAGTTGACTAACAAGAAGATGTTTCACTGAAATATCACCCAACCATCAGACTTAAGTGTGAAGTTTGTGCGAACAGGTAAATTAGAAGATTTCTTTACTGAGTTTTAATTCCCATGATGCTGAATGGTTCTTGTATTAAAAATTCATTTCATTGTCTTACTTTCAAAACACAGCATCTGGTTTTCACCATCCCATGGAGAGACGGGAGACTAAAAAATGCTTTTTAAAAAAATAAATATTCTAAAAGTATACTTTACAGTGATAAAGCAGTATTTTAGACCTATGCCTTAGTGTGTATTTGCATTGCATATATGCTTTAAGTTATAAGGACCTTTTCTATCTATCTATTTATATTATGGACCAGTCTTTGGGGACTGTTTTTTTGCTAATGATCTCTTGAAGTCAGCCAGTACTGCTCTCTTCTTCGGAGTACTTATTTTGCTAGAGTGTCATAGTTGATAATTCCAGAGGCTTGAACAATGTTTTGCAAAAACAAATTGAAAATTGGTATTGGCAAAACCGTATGAGAAAAGGGTTTGGGTAGGCTGCTAAAACACTCACAGTGCCAATCTCAGGAGATCAGCAGCTCGAAGAACTGAACAGACAAACCGGACTAAAACTTAGACCAGTCTTCCTTTTACTTGAGCCCATAATTACGATTTTGAACATGGCTCTGTTTGCTGCTGCCTAAATATATAAATTTTTTGTTAATTTTCCTGTATTGGGAAGATCTTGAATGTACTCCAGGATGAGAAAGAAAAAAAATGCTGACACTCCTAAATCGAGTATATGTTTTTGCAATAAAGAACACTGGTCAATATACAACTGAGGAAAAACTGAAACAGATGTGCGTGCTAGAACCACAAGCGTTTGAATTTGCCCAGAAATGCTATTTTAAACACTCTATATGTTGGTCTACTGTTTTTTTGTGGAATAATGCATTCTTGGCATCCTTAAAAGGTTTCAATATGTTACAAGGTTATCCGGAAAGAAAAAAAGCAAGGGGCTAACGTATCAACCTGTGTAGCACTGGCCAGATTTCAGTGCACATTTTCGAGAAGCACAAGAACTCGTATTAATTGCACTTAACACAACGAACCTTTAGTTTCCAATGGGTTTTCATTCTCTGCAAACTAAGGCTTGCTTTTCATAAAACGACTTTCAAAGGGGCACAGAGACACTCAGTCCTTCAACTTCAATTTGAGAGGTGCTGTAGTTGCGGTGGTAAACGCAAACGCACTTTTTTGAACTAAAATTCCGGTCATGAACAAAAGCATGTGCTTTTCTGCTCTTCTCTGAGATGTTACAACAGCAACATGCTCTAAGACAATTAAGTTACGTGCATAACGCTGAAAGAATGTGAGCAATCCTACAGCCAGCTTTAAGCCATCTGCTTGATTTCTCTTTTTGAGGAACATATATAGGAAAAGAGAATTCCCCTTTTGTTCCGTTACATATAGGAATCTTTTGAAGTTCCCAAATAGTTTGGTTTTGGTAAAATTCTCCACTCTTCTATTATTCTGACATGTAGTCACCCTAAACTATCCCTCATGGTTTCTCAAAAAATCTCCACATGAAGTATCTGAAGGACAATTGAAACCACTTCCCAATATACAAGTAACATTTTATTTTATATTCTATCTTCCATTTGGCATAAGCCTTTCGATGCTTGTTTTTTTAAACCAGTGAAATATACAAATCACGCAAGACAGAAATATGTACATTAAAAGTACAGAATAAAGGCCATAGAAGATATACATAATATCTGAATGACAAGTAGAATATTTTACATTAAATAGTTTCTTTTAAAAACTAGGATTGTTAAACTCAACTCTCTTCATAAACATGAACCACTAAAAAGGAACAAAATCTGGTTTAGCAAATAAAAAATTACTTCATGGTTTTTGTATAATAAAAACCAAAAAAGTGACATTTAAACTAATTAGTGCTTTTTAATTTCAAGATCTTTTGCTTGCAATTCACTGCAACTGAGGGGAAGCGAATATCCTTGTGCAATAAATTAAGAGCCACAGATGGCTGAGGTGATATGAAGGCCACCAAGCCTAGGAGGGTTGCAGGAGATGTGTATCTTTCCAAACTTTTAAAACAACGTAACTCAGATAAGAACACATTTGACGGCACTTTTTGGAAAGAGGTGTCTTTGTTTAAAAACATTTAAAAACTAGCTAGAGATGTCGTGAGCTGGATTTTCCTTAGGGACTCAAATAGGTACTACCAGATGTAGCAGGCACTGGTTTCCACTCTGCAAAATGACCTAAGGAAAGAGAAATGTTGACAATGCTCCCAAGTTTTGAATGTCTCTTCATTTCCACATCTATGACAAACAAGTAATGCCCTCTCCGGAAAGTGTACAGCAACGGAGGTTGTAGGAAAGAGGGTGGGGCAGGGAAGAGAAAAGAAATCTTCAAACCAACATGCATATCAGTGAGTAAGACCTTCTAGATTCCTCAGAAACAAGGCTGCATCGTGATGCTCAAGGTGTGGTCGAATCAGGGCCACAGCCCAAGCTCAACTCAGAAACCTTTTGGAAAAATCCCAATTGGATAGCAATGAAGGATGACAATGCTCTAGACCAAGAAATAACCCCAGAGTAAACTGTAAATCAAATTACTGGCTGCACTGAGATATATTTATATTTATATATATATATGTATGTATATATATATATATATATATATGTTATGTACAAAAGACTTTGAGATATCAGGCACCATTAAACCACATTTCCCCCCTTAGAAACGCAACTGTTCAGGTACACTAGGAACAGTCTCAGGGTATACCTGCAGTGTAATAGGAACAGGTCAGGTGGATAATCTAAACACAGGATCATGACAGTGAAATGGTGCAACACCTCTGTGAACTCCGTTAGCCAAGTAACGTCATTAAAACATATAAAACTACTGCTCCTCAAAATAAAACTTTCCGGAAAAAAAATCCCTAAGTAGCGAACTGTTTTCCAAGTGGAGCTCCTAATGTTTCATTTCCTGTCCTACAATCAAAGGGGATCCAGTGGAGCTGCCGCTTGAAAACGTGGCCAGTATCACATCGCAGCACGGCATGGAGGAATCAGAGAGGGCCTGGGGTAAAGTGGGAGGGCGGATTTCACGTTTTTCTCTCAAAGAGGTTTTCTGCTCTGGTGCGGGGCTGAACTGCACACAGTTACCTTGTTGTCTGAGCTGAGGATCTGTGAATGGAAGTCACTTATTATTTTCATTATTATTATTTACTAACCAAGTATCTCTAAGAAAATGACAGTCTATTCTCCTTTATATCCAAGCCAACCTCTCCCGCCCCTCTCCAAACAAAAAGTCTAGTACCCAGAATCATTCAAGGATCCTTTTCCAATCTCATAAGCTAATTCCGATAACAGCTTCCAATCATTGTCTTAATATAGGAGTTTTTATGTTTTTTAATTTCTGGGGCTTTCCTCTCTGCTCCCCAAGTTTCAGTAGCTATTAGAATAGGACCATGTGCAGATGGAATGTTTGAGAAGAAGGAGACACATGATAAACCTTTTTTCTTTGAGGGATATGAGATTCTTACCCTCACATTTTAAATTACCACTTTGAAAATGCTTCAGGCTGGCAGCCCTTGGTGGGGAGGGGGGTGGGTCTCATTTCTTTGTTTGTTTCTCGAGACCTCTCAACTTTGACCAGAGCATTTACAACTCATTTTGGTCAGAGAAGCTAAATCATGCATAGATTTGAGCCGCCCCCCTCCAGTGGGATGCTACCTGGCCCGGATGACCCCACAGTTGATAAAAAGAAAGCGTATTTCCGTTACCTTCTAGATGTGCACACAACTAAGTTACCATATGTGTCATGCCTCCTCATCCTACACCATCAAAAGAAGTCTTGTCTTACCTTTTCAAAGATTCACAAAATAAATATTTTTCTTGGTTCCCACCCCCCATTATTGCCAAATAATAATTATAATATTAATAATAAACCACAGAGTTCTTAGATGGGAACAGAAAAAAATGGTTCTGGTTGCAATTCTTGGGGGAAAAATAAAACAATATTAAAAAAAAAAAAACCCAAAAAACAGAATCACTGTACTTTCTATAAATAAGTGAGTCCTGGGAGTGGGGCTGGGTGACAGGCGGACGACGAGACGCCCACTATTTGCACACAAACTGGTCCACGATCTCCGTGCACTTCTTGCACTTGACGTAGCAGCACCAGTGGAACTTGCAGTGGCAGCGCTCCGTCTGCACGGTCTTGAACTGGTCGTAGCCGCGGCCGCAGCACATGAGCTCACAGCCGTCCATGCCCTCCGATGTCTTGTTGCACAGGCGGCCCTGCGTGCCGAGCGAGCCGGTGCTCTCGTTGCGCACGCAGTAGTCGGGGCTGGGGTCGATGTACACCAGGTCCTGCGTGGTGGGCGAGTTGAAGCGGCTGTTGACCTGCACCAGCTTGCCCCGGCTGTTGAGCCGCATGGCCGCTGCGCTGTCGTACTTCTCCTTCAGGGCATCGCCCACCTTGCGGAAGTCTGCCAGCTGCAGCCAGCACGTCTTGAGGCTACAAGAGCCAGACACCCCGTGGCACTTGCAGGCCACATCGGCCAGGTTGTACACCGTCTGTAGGGAGAAGGGGACAGTCACTGTACCAACTCATGGAGGAGCCCAGACGCAGGCGGGGGCTGTGCTAACAACTCTCCTCTCCACCTTCCAGATGGAGCCACGGTCACCAGCTAAACTAGGGGCTGGCCTTGTTCTTCCTCATTTTTGACTACCTGAAAGCGTGTGTTGCCTTCTTTAAAAAGTCTACAAAATAAATATGTTCTTAGCCCTCATCATTACACATCATCATAATAATCAGTCTTTGAATGAGAACAGGAAAAAAAATTGTTCCAGTTGCTTCTTTTTTGCAGAGAAGCAACAACATTAGTAGCAGCTATTGCATCTTGAATACCCACCCCAGAGGTTGTTCACAATTCCTCATCTGTGTCACCTGGATTAATCCCCATGACCAGTGTAAGAGGGGAGGGTACTATCCTCCCCTCTTGACAGAGAGGGAAAGGGAGGCCCAGAGAGTGAGTTACTGACCCATCCACTGGGAAGTAGGGGTCCCAGGATTTGAACCCAGGCAGATGGGTTCCAAGCTATACTCAGAGGCTTGTCCACAGACACCCAGCTGGAAGGTGGTAGGGCTGGGAGGGGGTCCAGCCCAGGGGGGATCAGGGTTCAAATCTTTACTCACTATTACTATTATTACTGCTGTGTGCCAGGTACTGTCATAAGAGCCTTTACACTCTTTATCTCATTTAATCCTCCCAGCAACGTTACAACATGGGCTGGATTAGATGATGGCACAGTGACGCAGAGAGGATAAGTGGCCTGCACAGATCACACAGCAAGATTGTAGGGGAACTGGGCCTGGGTCTCAGGGCTTCTCACTCCTGCTTCCGGCAAAGTCCCTACCCCTACCTCCCACTGCCTAGACTAAGAGCACCCACCCTGAACCCAGGCAGACATGGGTCTTGTCTTGACTCTGCCCCTGAAATTCAGGCAATTGGCTTCACCTCTCCAAGCCTCCGTTTTCCATCTGTGAAGGGGACTGTGATGGTACCACCCTCATAGCACTGATATTAAGGAATAAATTAGAGAATGCAAGCAAAGCACTGAGCATGCAGGATGCAATCGGTAAATCTGGTCTTTCTCCAGGGTGATGAGGGCGCTGGCCCTGGGCCCCTGCCCAGTCACCTTGGCCTCCCAGGAGCAGCGCCCACGGGTCTGGCCCCACTGCACTGTGCCCAGCAGTCTGGGAGGTGGCGGCTGCCTATTTCTAGTCCTGACTGTCTGCCGTTCCTGTCCCAGTGACCCTCCAGAGTTGGCGTGGTTTTGGCATGCCATAGGGGGCCTGTCAGGAACCTGGAGGCCGGAGTGAGTTAGAAAGCTGCTTCCACCCAGAACGGCTACCTTCTTCCTCCAGGGATTCATAAGGGGCTTTCTTAAGAAAGGACCCAACGTGTATACTCCCTTGGCATAAGGAGTTTCAGGCACTCAGCTTGTCAGAGGAAGGGTTTTGCAAATGTATTTAACCTTTGCTCCCCTTTGAGGAAAAAATAAAAGCTAATGCCCCAAGGCGATTCTTATATGATTTCCTGGCACAGAGTCCAACTTCCCTCCCCCACCTCCACTATCCTGGAGAAAAACCGACTTCTGTGTAATCCCATCCCATCCCATTCAGGGGCAGAGTCAAGACAAGACCCATGTCTGCCCGGGTCCAAGGTGGGCACTCTCAGTCTAGGCAGCTGGGGGTAGGGAGTAGGGACTGTGCTGGAAGCAGGATCCAAGCTCAGCTCGTTGCTTGAATTATAAAATTTACCAAAAAACCCATTATTTAACAATGCAGATGTTAAGTGAAATTATAATATTAAAGGTGCTTTTCCAACTCTCCAAAATCCCCTCTCTCCACTTGGAAATCCCTTGACCTCTCTTTTCTTGGTAGCTAAGTCCCTGATGATTTCTCTACAGGAGAAAAGTCTAAGAAATCCCCAAAGATGGACGAAAGCACCAAATATGGGCACAACAGGGCCCAGAAGAGTCAACCCCATCTCTGTCCTGGAGACATTTCTGGTCCGAGGTGCTGGGCACACTGTAAGCACAGAGAGAAGTCGTGTCCCTATGAAGACAGGAGCAAGGTCTTACGGGCTCCCAGAACGAGCGAGCTGCCATGCCCACTGTGCAGCCTTGGGTCGGCTGCAGCCCGGAGAATCCACTCACACCACAGGCACCACAGCCACAGGTGGCTTGAGAAAGGAGAGGCCACACTCCATCTGGAGCAATTATCTGACCTGTCAGGGCACCGCAGGCAAGATTCTGCAGACACCCCCAAATGTTTAACATCAAGTTTGAGAAGAAGACAGGTTAGCTGGAATTATCTAGATAATCTTTGACTTCTCTCTGTCCTTGGCTTCCTAGTGTCCAGTAATTACCATTTATCAAGCACTCAGTACTGGCCGATACTAAACTCAGACCCTCGACTGAACCACATAAAACTGTTATTGTTGTGGGTCAGAAATAATCAAGTACTGGTAATCTCATATGCTTCAACCTACTCTGTGATCCCACGCAATCAGCCCAAGTGACAGGGAACGGAACGCCATGGCCATTGACCAGAGGTGGAAGTGTGGACACTGAGGCTCAGAAACAGAAAGCAACAGACAGACTGCATTTCAACCTAGATTTCTTTAACTCCAAGACCTATAGCTCTTCCCCCTGAGCAGCCATGCGTGACTTTAATAAAAAAGCACCTGGCCTTATATCTCAATCCACTGATTTTCTTCCGCAGCCATGCAGTGGTTCTCTAGGCCTCCGTTTCCCAATCCTTAAAATGAGGGTGTGCAACCAGAGGGTTCTAAGGTTCCTTCCAGTCCTCCATATTTTACTCTGTGATTATCTTCCCTTTTCCTCACCCCAAAATACAGAAGAGTGAAATCTCTGACCAGAAAGTTCCTGGCATCTACCTTGGGCTCTGTAAAACAATAAAATAAAACAAAAAAATAATGGCCCTGGTTTTCAAGGCTGCCAAAGTTAAGAAAAGTTTTCACCCCTTCATTTTAAAGCAGCCATAAAGTGCCATGTGTCTAACCGCAGGAAAAAAGGGTCTTTTTAACTATTGTGGGGAGACTTTTCGGATCCCGACCAGAGAAAGGAAAGAGCAGGACCGGGGAGCTCAGGAGGGCCTGCAAAGACTGTTCGCTCTGGGCACTTCAGAGGGGCTCTCTTCCCTCCAGAGCCACCCTCCAGGAGCCTGATGATCAGACCTTTAAATTCCACACTGCTAAAAGTGCTGTAGTTTTCCTAGGAAAGCTCTTTTTTTTTGCTATCTAATGACATAAGGAGAGGCAAAGAGAAAGAAAGGTGAGGAAAGGTAAGTCCTGGAAGCTGGGGTGAGGGCCTTCTCAGCTGGGCACCCACTGGGATAAATCAATTCCGTTCTCCCAAATTTAAGCCTCACCACAAACATGTTCAGGGGGAGGGCCAACGTTATTAACATTTTTATTTCTGAGCTGGGCTGGCCAATGGCACTGGGGACTAATTAAAGAGGCAGAGAAAGCGCTGTCTCAGGCAATGGCAGGAGCACCCCGTCTGGAGCGGGCCAAGGCGGGATGATTCACTCCCAGCAGGCCTTTCTGGGGTGCACGCCCTTCTCCAGAGACGCCTATGTGTAGCGGGGCGGGGAGAGATGGGGGGTCAGATAGAGAGAGAGACAGAGAGAAACAGGGAGAAGGGGAAAGACATCTGAAAAGATAAAAAGGGAGGTGGAGACAGAGACGCAGAGAGAGATACAGAGAGACGCAGAGACAGCAAGGTGGGGGACAGAGGGAGGGACACAGAGACAGGGAGAGGCATGGCTGGCGTGGATGGCAGGACAGAGAGGGGGCCCAGCCCGGGTCGGGCAGCCAGGACGGCACTCACCCTGCGGCCGGCCTCGTTGTTATGCAGGTTCATGAGGATGCGCGCGCTCTCGTATGAGCCCTTGGCGTGGATGCGCTCCCGCTCGCGCGCGTCCACGAACTCCTTGGCGAAGCGGTAGCCGTAGTCGATGTTGTCGCCGCAGCCGCCCCACAGCCAGTCCCGCGGTAGGTCCTTGGGGCGCGCGGCGCGGCTGCAGCCGCAGGTGGACAGCTCGCCCTCGCGGCACGCGCGGCTCATGGCGTTCACCACCCCCGCTGCGCTCACCGCGTACGTGAAGGCCGTCTCGCGGCTGCCTGCGGGCGAGGACGCGGGTCACCGGGCGCCTGCCCTGCACCCCGGCCCCGGGGAGGAGCGGGGAGAGCCCCAGACAGACCAGCCCCCGACCCACAGCAGCCCGGGCCCATGAGTGGTGCAGGTGGAGGGAGGGGGTAGAGGAAAACAAACTAGCGCACGTGCCGCCCCCAGGCAGGGCCCTGGTGGCTGGGGAACCCAGAGGAGAGGGCCCCATCCCCAACATACACCCAGGCCTGGGCCCGCCTTGAGGGGAAGCTAAGAGAGATCCCCCAAACACAGAGAATCAACAAATGACCAAGAAGGAGCAGATCCCTGCTATCTTTGCTCTGACATTTCAGAGCCTCGGGCAGGATTCTAAGCAGCGCTGGATGGATCTTCTCCACTCTTCTGAAAATATTCCAAACTTATTCTTTCCAAAAATGCCCATGAAAGAAGTCATTGAGGGAAAACTCAGAATTTGGGTAGACTTCCTTACGCTTACTTTACTGTTTGGTATTATTTTCATTTTGAGTTACATATAGGGCAGGAGCATACAATTTGCTAGACTTAGGGCCTCTCAAGGTCTGAGGCCCGGACTGGAACCCAGACACTGCAGCCCCCCACACTCCTTGTGGCCACAGTAGTTCTGGCCTCCCTTCCCTCTCCTCCATCAGGCAGCATGAAGTCCATCAAGGACAAGGCTCTTGACTTCCCCAGAGTACACTTCTAAACCCGTTCCTAGAGAGCAAGAGAGGAAACTCTCCTGTCTTAAATCCCAAGCTGATTGGTCTTATCCGTCTCGTTCAAGATGAGTGCCTACTTTTAAACAGCCTGCTGTTTTTAACGTCACTTCTGCCATTCCCCAACAGCCTCTGCCTTCAAGTGTCAGAACAATAGCAAGAAGGAAAAAAGCACAATCTAAGAGGAAAAGAAAAAAAAAAGCTTTCTCCTTTCCCAAACTTGTCAAAAGTATACAAACCTAAAGGAGAAAAGTTTTCTCCTTCCCTAAAGTAAAGAATATTTCCCTGTGAAACAGTTATAAAAAAGCCTTATTTGTAGGGAGAAAAATGGAGGGATCCTAGACTACCTTAATTTCCACTTGTACGTGGAGACGTTTCTATATGTAACAAGAAGCCACTTAATAAAAATGTTGTACTATGAGAGAGAAAGGGTTAACACCCAGCCAGCTGAAGCTGGGCCTGGGGGGGCAGGATGAGAGGGGCCTCACTTTCCTCAACTATAAAATAAGGGTATTGAACTAGATGCTTAGGGGAAAAAGGCCCCTTCTGGCACTGGAATCTCTATACCAGAATCGGTTTCTCCTACACTTAAAGAGCTTGCTAACGATCTTTTTTTGGGGGGTAGGGGGGAGGTGGCATAAGAAGAGCTGACAACAGGACTCAGCCCTAACCAGAAGGGCCAGTCGGCAGGGCAGGAGAGTGGCTGTGCCAATTCAAGCATTGGCCCTTTTCTTGGACTTCTGCTCCACTCCAATCCACAGCCCTTTGTGATTCCCCCTTCCAGGAATGGCCATGGTTCCGATTTACCACAGACCTTCCCTCCCACATTTTAAAAAATGAGTAACTTGAGGAGTGTGCTGGTGGTTGGCAGGAGGATGCAGAGTTCCTGTGGGGTGTTACATCTATCTCGCTCGAATTAGAGAGGCAGAGAACATCAGGGGAGTGAAGAGAAATAAGGAGGGCAGACAGATTCTAGGGAGTTATTTGAGGATTAACACTGATAATACAGAAAACGCTGTGGCCCTGGAGGGGAGACTTGTAGAATAAGGAGGTAGCTAGAGGAAGAGAGATAAACAATCCTCTGGAGATAGAGGAAAATAAGACACTGTCCTGTGACTACATAGAACATAAAAGGGCTTTTATACAAAACATGATAATGCTGCTTTTTTCTGAAGTGTATCTTGAGCATTTCCTTTTTTGCCCCAGAATACAAACCTAGTAGAAATCTCTAAGCTAATTGGTCATTGCAGGGCAAACATCAGTTTGAAAGGGGCTCTTTGGCTAATAGCCTGTGGATACAGTCACTCTGGATGGAACACTGATGATTCAGTTAGGCTTCCCTCCCTGTGAAATCGACATCTACTCGGATCCTCACACTCCTTAAAAATGGTGCCTTTCTTACGTATCTTTTCACAGCGCGCAAACAAAGAAGAAACGGAGACAAAAGCTGGAAGAAAAGGGTAGCATGATGAAAAATGAGAAAGTTCCAAAATGAAGAGCAGGCCCTCCACGAGGCAATTGTGTACAGTGCCTCCAAGGGAACTGGCACCCTAGAAAAATGAGGGAGGAGGCATTGGCAGTGGCAGCCTGAGTTTCTCAGACACTGGCCCCATCTCAGGGTCAGATTCTCACGGACAAGAATTGCTCTCCGTGTCCCTGGGGTACTGAGTGCTTTGCAGCAGGCGCGCACACACACCTTTCAGCATCAAAGGTGTTTGAAGTTTTCCCTTAGCTCATTCTCTCCAGGCACAGCCTTAAATAGAAAGGTGAAAGCTAAGTGACTTCCCCACTCTTGGGGTTGAGTCCATGTCCCTCTTCTATAAAAATCTATTCTGGTTTTTCTCCTCTCCATCTTTTTTTAAAATAAATAAAAAAGAGAAGGCCCTGTAGTTTTCTACCACAAGCTGCCCAGCAGCAGATTTCTGCTCTGAGACCCTAGGCACCAGCAACTTTTGGCAAGAGAGATGCTACATGTGTTCTCCTCTTCCCAGGACATCAGCTGACTTGGTGATAGCATCTAGGAGGGCTCCCTCGGAGGCTGTCAGGAGGTTCCACTCCCACCCACTTCCCATCAACCCAGATGGTAGCACCACACAGCTGAGGACCAGAGAGTGTACTCGCAAGGGACAATTAAATACAGGCCTTTGTACTCAGGAAAGTGTTCCTGAGTTCCTGAGGAAGCAGGCTCTTTGAATCTTGGACCACATTTTAAATAAATCTGCAGCAGAACTCAAATCCACTTAGCAAATGATAGCTTATTGTGAACATCTTGGTCCCAAATAGGCTACGTATGAAGATGAGAAGAGGATTTTAAATCAAAGCTGTGTTCGAGTGACTACACAGAAAAACAGTTCTAATTGCTGTTTTTCTTCCTGGTTAGCATCAGAGGTGCACGATTTTTGCTAACTCATATACATGCGAAAAAGTGGTCCCATAGTTTGAGAGGAAGGCAGATTAGGGGGAACATACATGGCACAGGTGAGGGGGGAAGCTGACAACTCACCATTGCAATACAGCTAAAAAAAGGAAATTTTAAGCTCATGCACAATATCAAAGTGCAGGAGAATCAAATCTCCGCCACACCCCCAGTGGACTAGGAAGGCAGCCCACATTCAGGGCAAACTCCTAGGTTCCTGAAGCTTAACTCCTACATTCAGATTCCAGTATATACATTAGCACATTGTAATCATTAACGGGAAGGACAAAGCCCCTAGGAAACTCCGCGGGCTGAGGCTACAGACCCCTCTCCCATTCAGTTAGAGGACCCGCTTCCAGTCCTGTATTATTTTAGTTTATGAAGCCGCTTGGCTCAAACATCCACTGACAACTCTTTTTTGTTCTCAATGAATGCACTTTTCAGGGTTTTTAAAAAAGCATTTTATCCATCCGTGACGGATATTAAGCCAACTTTTTATCTTCAGTCAGTATAAACAGTTAATTGCTTTGATAAATGGCTTCTTATTTTAGGAGTCACTGCGGCCATATCAATTATAAGGGCTTGTTTGCATAAAAGTAAAGAAACCTAAAATATTCACACTAGAAAACACGCACAGGACCACATCTGTCAGACAGTATCCTGTGCTATCCAACCAAACCAGGAGCAAACTGATTTTCCAAATTCTTTGCCTTTAGCCCAGTTTTAATGTTACCTCCTCCCTGAATGGAATAACAAGTTCAACAATGCATTTAAAATAAAGAATCAGGCTGTGGGCAATAGGTTTAGTTTAGTTTTTTTTTTTTTAAGTTTCTAGGTTGAAATCTAAAGCACGTGCTTTTATCTCAATTGCCAAAATCACAAATGTAAATTGGATCCCTTCTAATTAAAATTCTTTCTGGGACTAAAAATAAAGCTTTTAACATATATATCTCTATAGCCTCCGGAAACATCCTTATTAGGAAAATTAAAACCTTATTCACTTCCAACATATCCAGCATTCTGAAAGATGACAATTTTTAGTTTGATGCTTGGGCCATCTCAATTGTGGCTTAAGTTAGGAAACTCCTAACAGTTAAGAAAGTTTTGAAGTTTAAAAGGATATAAATGACTCAGCTTTCCTCATCTATTTTTGAGAAACCACAATAAGCATTCTGCTTCTATTTTAAACAAGATACTTTTTAGAAAAATTAAGTTTTCAGAAAAATGAAGGTGTCTTTGATGCTCCCTTTCTGATTTGGTTAAAAAAGTCCAAAACTTATAATCAGGTGTGGGGACAAGAATTCCTATCAGTAACAATGACAAAAATCCCCTAAGCTATCACCCTGCTGGAAGATTCCCTCCTTATCAAGCTTGTAAGTAAACTCTAAAGACTTTTTCCAGGAGAAAAATTTACATGTATTTAAAAATGTTAAATGGTTTCCTACCTATCTGCATAACCCTGCCAAAAACAGAGGTGTTATCCACGGTGCTGCAGTTCCATCTCCGATGTCGGAATTGATACTGGCATTCTTTGATGCCTGTCTTCGCACCTTCTCCGATGTACTGCATGTGGTCCTGATACAAGTGGCATAGTTTCTTCTGTCCTTGAGAAAGTCCTGCCAGTTGGCTGCAGAGAGGCTGTGCTCCTATGATATATACTTCTGACATCTGAACAGGGTTATTCATACCTAGCGACCTAAAAAGGGGGGGGGGGGAGATGTGCATTCAAGATTTACGTGAACTCTCGAGGTGGGCCCCCTGAAAGCATGTCAGCAATACATAGTTTTAAGCACACAGATGCTTTTTCTCTCCTGCTTGTCTTCATGACAAAGTATGAGAAGGGCTTCATAAAACTCCTCTGTTTAAACTCCACTCAGAAAACGGAGGTATTGTGTAGTTCCCATCCCGCCATCTGGCTCCTCAGTTAGGGTTTTCACTCCCTCCCTGGCCCTGTTGCCATGTACCAGAACCAATATTTCCGAAATCCCCTCAGAAAAGGGGGAAATGGCGGTTTCAGGGACGAGCCTCTGACATTAGAGAAAGTGACTCACTTTGCCCCACAAATTGGACTGATCTGCCTTGAAAACGTATGAATGCCGAGAGTAGATACAATTAGACACCAGCAGGAGATAGCAGTTCCTTTTGACTGATGGAAGAACAGTGGGACAAGTATACAGACTGAAGGAAATTCACCATGTTCTGGACATTTTAAAAGGGCTCCTTATGTGATTGTGAAGGACCCAAGACGGGGTATCCAGTGAACAGAAGTCATGTTTGACAGTCAGAAAAACGCTGTTCATTTACAGGGGAAAAATATCCAGAACACCGTCAAAAATAATCCTCTGGATATACTGCAGTCTATCTACAAGGCCCCTACCAGAAAGAAACCCTCATTTAGGGACATTTGACTACTTCAAGTTAACCTCCTTTTGATCAAATTTCAAGCCCAAATACCTCCCCACTTGGAGTTGAGCTGTCTTCCTAGAACTCTGCCTACTTCAGACCCTGAAGGTTAATAACCTCAAGTGACAGAAAATAAAAGTTGGAAATCACTTTTATTACCTAGAGGTGGCAAAAAGTAAATTTTATAGATAGGCTTACAATTATTAGAGAACTGGATTTCGGTCCCCTTTTATTCTATGATGTACAACAAGCATACATCTGAACAAGGGCCTCATAGAAAGAGGTCTAGATTTATAGGTTCCAATTCCCTATGGAGCTAAAGATAAGCTTTGCAATATTAGCAAATTAAAAGAAAATTCTCATTTAAAGATATATACAAATAAAATATATATACATATGTAATAGATAAATGAGCCCAAAGTCACGATTCAGCATTAAATATTGCAGCATCATACAAATGCAGCTTCAAATAAAATAAAGAATATGCACATAGAATGAACTTACCACCAAGAATTGGCTTCTATTACAACCTGGGCGAAGGAGAAAAATATGGCCAAAGCCATTAGGAAGAACTTGGAAGACATTGCACTTCCAGCCGTCCCCAAAGCAACTCCTGGGCTTAATATTCCAATCGACTTCTGGAGAGGGAAGAAAGGAGCAGATGTTTATTGCCTCTCAGATAATTTTCAAGCATACAAGTTTAAACAACGGAAGCATCCGGGGTCTCTTAAGTTTACTGTTGATTGACTGCGCTTCTCCTCCGTGAGTTTTTTGATGGCAAGATATAGGCAGTTTCTTTTTCTAAATTAATCCACCCACGCAACCTCACCAGGAAATCTGATTTCGCTGGGATCCTGCGCGCGGGGCACGCCAGCGATTACAAACATGTCTCAATGCTGTTGAGTCAAAGCCCCGGTGCCAGGCGCTGCCTCCTTCCTGCTTGCTCGAGTCCCGCACCCCCTCGCTCCCCTCTAGTCCACGCTGTGCTCGGTCCCTCCTCGGGAATTCACTCGGGAACCCGCCGCCACCCTCGTCCTCTCCCCGACCTGGGCCGAGCAACAAGTGGAGCCGGAATTAATTCCATGGGCGAGAGGAGCGCGAAGAAGGCGAGTGGAGCGCGCCGCCGGCGGCTGCGGAGGAGGCGGGGTGGCCGGCGCGGGGGTGGGGGCTGGGGGGCAGGACGCGGGAGGGAAGGGCAGGGGGTGGGGGGCGAGGCCCCGGGGAGCAGCGCTCGCGAGTGCCCAGCTGGGAAACGCAGCTCCGAATTAACATCGTATGTTTCATAATCAGTTTACGGGCCGCTTTGGAGGAAGCCACTTCCAGAGGGGGAAGGGCAGCCTAGGTCTCCTTAGGACGCTCTTAAACCTGAGTGGAGTGGGGAGAAGGAGATGGGGGACACGGGATAAGGGGGAAAGAGATCTGCTCTCCCAACCAAGGAAACTGGAAAACTGTACCCCTCCCCTGCCTGCGGCCTCCTCCTCGGACTCAGTGTACCCTAGAGATGGGAAGGCACCCCAGTGAAAGAATGGGGTCTGGGTCTCTCTGTGCTGGGAGAGAATTCCTTCCCGGCCCTCCTCATATTCTGATTTTTCACTCTTCCTCCCACCCTGCTCCTGTCTCCACTCCTGGCAGCTGCCACGGAGAAAAGGGAAAGGGAGCCAAGGAGGACTCCAGTTTCCTATGGTCCTGCTCTGGAGTTGTCGGCCACTTCGCCATCGCGGCACTGTGAGCCTGGCCTTGGGACGCCGCCTCTCCACCCTCCAGCCCAATTCAGTCAGTCGAGCCAGACTCGCTTTGGTCAGTCCCAAACTGTGAGGGTGCAGGGCGAGGCCAGAACCGGTGCAAGTGAGCCCCGACGGGGCCAGAGATGCGCTGGCTCCCGCGCTGCGGCGGAGCCCCTGGATTCCAGGGCACCGAGAGCCCCGGCGGCGAAGGCTCTGGTCAGGCAGATTTTCGGGGACAGTGGGCGGCCTTGGAAGCTTCCGCTGGCGTTCCTCCCCACCGGTGACTTCTCCACCTGTAGGCGGCGGAGGAGCGAGACGGTGCCGGGTGCGGGTAGGAGGAGTGGGTTTCCAAAATCCCCTTTTACATCTCTGATAAGTGTAACCTGGCCGCGCTGCGCCGCCCGCAGACCCCAAGGGAGCCCCTTCCTCGGGAAAGGAAAGATAAGCCTCCTCCAGGCGTCGGAAGGGCCTGGCCTGGAACCTGCGCCGTAAAAGGGACTGTAGGGACCTAGGTGGCGGTGGAAACGTGAAGAGGCGCAGGAGCGTGCCACGGCTTTTCCCTGCCAGCCGCCCATTTGGCCCGGACACCTCAGGGCTTCTTTGAAAGGAAATGCTTATGTGGTCCCTGGTGCCCGCTAACCAGGACTCCACTCCCCTGGCCCACTGGTCCCCAAAACGCCACAAAGCTGGGGGCGCATCCCGGAGAACAGAAACCTGGGGTTTCCCCAGCCTAGGAAAGAGAACGCTCCGTCTCCCTCCCCACCCCCGCCCGAAGTGTCAAGTTTCTTCCAGGGGAGGGGGTGGGCTGTGAGGTCTGGCTTCGCGCGCGGCCCAGCCTGCAAAGTCGACTCTCTCCATCGGCGGCCAAGGCCGCGCGCGCACACACACTCATGCACATTCACACACTCACACGCGTGCACAGATACACACGCCCCGTCGTGCTTCCAAGACCGCGGAGGATACCGCCGCTGGCCGCGGGCACTTTTCGAGCTCCGCGACGGGCGGGCGGGGCGCGCGGGGCGGGGCTCGGGCAGCCGAGAAATTGATAACAGATTCGGCGGATTACAGCGGATCTCTTTGTTAGAGGGGAAGCCACACAAACCGAACCCACTCTCGGCCAGACGACCCCGAGCAGAGTCCACCAGTTCCCAGCCCTGTGGCCAACTGGGAGTGGGCCATTGGGTCTCCGTGACAGGGATATCCCAAGCTCCAGGCTGGGGGTAGGCCGGAGGTGTCCCAAGGGGATCCAGCAGGAGAACCCCTCGAGTAGCGTCTCCACTTAACCCCCGTGCGATTGCCCGGAAACATCTTGGCCCGCTTCCCGCTCCAATCTCCGAACAACCCAGAAAAGGCCCCACAAGTTTGAGAGATTGAAGGAACCCATGGCGAATTCACTAATAAATACATCGATTCTGTAGGGTAAACATCCCTGCCTGTTTACCAAGAGATCTGACCCGAAAAGACAGTACGAAATGAGACCTCCCCGCGGACTGTCACACCCAGAGTAAAACAAAAGTTCTAGGCAAAAGCTGAGTTTACCAAAGAACGGGCTAAACGTTTTAGAATACTTTCAGGGCCCGGGAAAGCCGACTTTGTAAGGATCCTTGGTATCTTCCTAATGTGCGATGGGGAGGAGGCTTATGGGCATTTGAGAGGTTCAAGTACACCCCGGGGAGGGGTGAGGCGGGGGTAGGGCGTTCGCGCGCCCCTGTTTCCAACCCAGAACAGCTCAAGTAGTGGCTGCTTAATAAGTCTCTCTTCCAAAGCTTTCCTATCGGATTAAAGGTGTTCCTAACCGTTCTTTATCACCTGGGGTGCGGGCCAGGAGAGAGGACGGGTAGGAGAGAGGAAACCGTACCACTGGTTAGAGGACGTTCCGGGGCCGCAGAAGGCATCGGAACGTGCGCACAGACCTGCCTAGTACCCAAGTCTTCGGCCCCGCGGGCCCTAAAGAGAAATTCCGCAAATGCAGGGCGAATATCCTCAACCTTCGTCCACTGGCGCTACCTCACCCCGTCAAAGCATCCCTTTCCACTAGGCTCTTTGCCTCCAGGGCTCCTCAAGTCTCTGGGAGTGGAATTGATCAGGGACATCAACCAGGAGGAAGAAGTGAGTTTGACTTGGGCTCGCAGTGGCGAAAAGGATAGAAAACTCCAAGAATCTCAGCTCTTTGTGGGAAATAAATTTTGTTTTCCCCGCTGTGATCTCTCCCTAAAGCAAAGAGAGAGATGGAGAAAATTGCGGGAGAAAAACTCAGTGGCAGGGACAAAGTTGGGACGTCCTGCCCGGGGGAATGCCAAGAGAAGCGGGAGTGGATGATGTAAGTTAAGCCGGTCGAGGCCAATAGGAGGTCCACTTTAGTGGAGCAGACAAGGAGTTAGCGCTCCCCCACGACTCTAGCCTGGGCGCAGGGGAGCCGCGGCCGCCCCATGCGTCCAGGATGTGTCCATAGCACCGTCTGTGTTGGGGTGGGGGAGAGAAAGTGGAGGGAGTTTCTCGAGCCCAAATCAATGCAAGGAACGTGAGCAGCCTCTGCCAGACTCAGAACCCAGAGCAGGTCCAGTAACAGGGAGTCTCCAAGGGAAGAATGGTGGCTAAGTCTGCCTCTGTTCTCTGCTTCCCCTCGCCCTGCCCAGGACAAGACTCTTCAGACTGCAAGACACCTTCTTTCTCCCTGCCTCCCTCCCTCTCTCCCTCCCTCTCCCTCCCTCTCTCTCCCTCTCCCCCTCTCTCTCACTCACTCACACACACACACAAATATCACTTACAACTTCTCACACAGCATGTCTAACTCTTTCAGCACGGGCTGTCAACTCTGTCCAGAGGAAGAGCAGAGTGTCCCGTGGAAGAAGAAAGAAAATTAAAAATCAGTTCAACTCCCACTCTTGAGAGGCAGTTTCAACTCTACTTTTTAATAGATGAAGAAAGTGAGGCGGAGAGAGAGAAAACAACACTTTTCCTCAACCACAGAAAGAACCAGTGAGAGTGCCAAGGCCAGAACCAAGGCCTCCTAGGGCGATGCTCTCGTTCCAGCGCCCCGGAGAAGAGGTAGCTAGCAACTCTTCCTCCACTCGCCTGAACCCAACTTGCTGGGTCGGATCCATGGCCCCTTCCCTACTGCAGCGGCCACGCAGTGCAGCTTGTCTTTTGGGGGCCTCGGAGGGGCCCTCCCGGGATGTGGTGGTCGCTAGAGAGGAACCGAGCGCCAGAGGTGGGAGAGAGAGGCGAGCGGCTGCCCGCCTGCTCCAAGGAACTGAGACTCCGAGGCGTCCTACCTTAAGGCAGCCAACAGGGGGCAGCCGGCACCGCACCGCGGGGATGAAAAGGCAGCGGGAAGAGCCGAGCTCTGCGCGCAAGGTGCTAACCCCTTGTGCACCGGGGCGCTCCGATAAGAGGAGGAAAAGGCAGCGGACTCTGAGGCCGGCCCTCCTGGGGAGGGTCCTCTTTTGTGGGGCCAGGTGGGACTAAGACTAGTACGTCCAAGACCCAAGAACAACTGACCCTTTACTACCCCCCCCCCCCCCACACACACACACAGGCAGGACACAGATCCACACACTCGGACACACAATTTCCACTGCTTCTCCATCGCTTGCGCGCTCTCAGCATCGGCCCCTCGGAACTCCCCTGGCAGAGGCTGTCTAGAAACGAAGTCTCCGCATCTGGCTGGAGCAGCAGTGAATGTTGGCGGGAGGGCAGGGGCTGAAGAGGTGCGACCCCACTGCTGACTCCAAGTTACTTCCAAACAGCGAGCTGTCCGCTTAAAGAAAAGAGCAGAGAGGAGAAGGGGCTTCAATGCCAGACTGGGATTGGAAAGTAAAACAAGGCCGCGGGGTCTCCAGGTTTGGGGTTTTTTTTAAACCTGTTTTGGGGAGAAAGGGGAGATCTGTTTGCTTTTAGGAAACTCTTAATTCTAATTCCAACCTTGTTTTCTAGACAACTGAAAAATGGGAGCGATCAAGAAAAATGGAAATAAGGATCGAAACTTGGGGGGCAGCGAGAGGAAAAGCTGTTTGGAAAATAGCAAGTTATATTGCAGGAAGAAATGTTAACTCTTCGTAAAAGTGAACTCTCGGTGACCCTCGGAGTGTGTGACTCGGCTTTAACATACAACTGACAATTAAAACAAACAAGAGTTCACAAACTGCCCCCCGCCCGCTCTCCCAACGCGGAGGCCCAAATGTTTCCAAAGGACACGGCAGATTCCGCGCAGGGGGCCAGGGCGCGCTCTCCCAGCGGACAGGATTAGAGCCACCACTGCCAGCACTCCCCGCCCCCATCACAGCGGCAAAAGTGCCGGAGCTCACCCAGTGGCGGCTAGTAATGCTAATAACGCGACCCTGCTCCCCGAACCGGGGTGCGTGCTGGCCCCCCGCCAGGCACTCTTAAAGGTACAGGGCCTGCAGCGTTGGGTTCCCGGGCCGCGACGAGTCTGCAACCTGGCCTCTGGTTGCAGAGGGCGGTGTGGGGCGAGGGGGGGGGGGGCGGGGTGCCTCTGTTCCTGGGCAGTCGGTCCCTAGTCCCGCTGCCCGGTCTCCCAACCAAGGAGTCCCCTTCCCTTTTCCGAGCCCCGGCCACACACCTTCACGTTGCCCGCGCAGTTGGCGCTTGGTAAATATTTGTTGAATTGAATCATTATCCTGTTACTGAAACATACATAGTAAATTACACTCGCGTTTCTCAGAGCAAAAGGAAAGTCTTCCGTGAACTGCACTTAGTTTTTCTGCCCTGGCTTTTCCCCACCTTTTCTCCAAAATCGAAAAGATCTGCAGAACGTTTGTTGGGACAAGAAGAGGTCTCCCGGGAGACAGAGGCAGTGTGCGGGGGTTGGGGGTCGAAGGGGTAGGGGTCCTTGCCAGCTACGCGGGAGTTCCAGCCTCTCCAGGCGGTAAGAGAAATGGAGGGATAGGAAGAGGTAGGGGGGTGGAGGGGGGGATTCAGTTAACTTCCAAAATAAAAAAAGAAGAAAAAAAGCGGCGAGTGTCGGCGGCGCACAGAACACCTACCTTCATGGCGAGGGGGAGGGGGCGCGGGGAGGAAGTCGCCACCAGAGTGAGGGCAGCCGAGGAATCCGAGCGGAGCGGCCGGGTTAAGCCTGGGGGGACGATCCGGCGCAGAGCTGCCGGCTCCTCCTGGGCGCGTCAGTCAGGCACAGGGAATCGGAGCCGAAGCGGTCACTGGCGCCCGAGTCTGGGGGCCCGAGCTGGAGCAGCGCTGGGATGCGCGCAGAAACCGAGGGGGCGCCGAAGCCCGCCTGCCAGCAGCAGGGCCAGGGCCGGGCCGGGGCGCAACAAGGGAGCCGCGGGTCCGGCGAGGGCGCGCAGGCGACTGTTCCGCGGCGAGGCGCTCCCTCTCCAACGTCCATCAGCGACGGCGGTAATTAGGGCTTTCCAACCCCAAATGTGGGCGTGATTGTGCAAAAGACTTTACAACAAATAATAAAAAAAAATTCTTCACAAGAGGGTGAAAAAAATGCCCCACTGCTCAACTCTGGCCCGGGGCAGGGGGAGGGGGGAGAGATCCGTGCGCCCAGGTGCCCCCAGTTCATTCACACCATGGATTCTGCAAACTCCCGGCGGCTCACGCCTCCTGATCTTCAGCTCCTCCTCTCCAAGTCTGTGGCCGAAACGTCTGCTTCCAGGCGCTGATCCTGCGGCCGAGTGTGTGGACGTCTGTGTACACACAGAGACACACACCCAAACACACACACACACCCACTGCAGCTTTGGGGCCACAGAACAATCAGGCGCGCATGGCTTTTTCTCCGGGAGATGCCGCTGAAAACGCACAAGTCGCCATCCGAGCTGCAAAAGTCAGCGCCAACTTTTGTCCTTTCATTTTAGGGTTTGGCAAAAAGGGGGCGCATAATGGGTAAAAGTCGTCCCCGAACGTTCTGCCGGGCGCGGTGGGTTCGGGCGGCGATGGGCGATTGCCCCAGGGGAGGCACTGGCTCCCCCCTCCCCACCCCCTTCTCTCTCTCTTCGGGTTAATCCCCCTCTTTTCCCCGCCTTTCCAGGGCGAAGGGCGAAGAGAAGCAAGGGCACCGCGGACGTGGGGCTGGGGAGGGGCGAGGGCGGGGGTCTCCGCGGCGGCTGTTCAGCTTTGGCGGTCCATGGCCGGCGCGGCTGCCCACCTCCTCGTTTGGCGCCGGGGCCCGAGGGGCGGGAGAGCGAGCAGGCGGGCGGCGGGCGGTCGGGGCACGGCGGCAGCGGCGGCGGCGGCGGGAGGAGCTCGCTCGGCAGCGGCCGCACCGAACCGGACTCTGGGCGACGGAGGCGGCGCCTTGGAGCTCGCAGCAGCCTTCCACGCGATCCGGTGCCCCGCAGACAAACTGACCGACCGCAGGGACCGCGTCCCCCCCACCCACCCCCCGGCCCTCCTGGCCAACTGCCTCACTCTCTCCCTCCCTCTCTCTGGACTCCTCTTTCCCCTGGTGTTCTCAGAGAAAAAAAAAGATTTTTTTTTTTTTAAGTTGCAGAACTAAAGGCGGCTGGAGAGAGAGAGAGAGAGAGAAGGGGGGGAAAAGAAAGAAAACCTCAACTTTGCCTTTGCGCATGCGTGGTGAGGCCGGCCTATGACAAACTCCGCAGGATTTTAAAGCCGTACGACGGGCTGGGGTACAGGGGGGCGGGATACACTCCCTGATCGAGCCCCCTTCTGCAGGCTCCCCATCCCCCAGGCATCTGCTGAGAGAGAGAGGTCCACTCCGCAGCCGCTGCCTGACTGCCTCCTGGCTGGCTGCGCTCCTTCCAAAGCCGCCGACCCGCGAGAGGCTGAACCCCGACTTCTCGTGCTGTACCCCTTGGCTCGCCTGTCCCAGGCCGCTCCCACTGGGGCTGCACTGGGGGCTGCTGCCCTGCCACGGAACTTCTTGGCGGGCCTCCTCCCCATTCGTACCCTTGGGGGAGGGTCCCTAAGCCTTGGGACTGGAGAATAGGGTGGGCGCACACATCCTGCAACGCCCCCCGTTTAGTAGATCTGGGTACTGGGGTGCGCGATTGAGCATCTGGCTGCGATCCATGCGCCATGCATAGTCCTGCTGGCTGGATCTTGGCGAGTGCCCTCAGGTGAGAAGCTTGCAAGTTCAGCAAAACCGGGTTCCAGGCACTGGAACTTCTAAACACCTCCAGACACCTGCGGTTGTTGGGACCCTGGCGGCGAGGGGTTGGTGGATGTGCGTCCCCCGACCTCCAGCACGCGAGGGGCGCCCCCCTTGAACAGTGCCTCACACTGGAGCGCAATTCTTGTTCTTAGTCTTCTCCATCCTCCAGACACCCAAGGTGGAAGACACACAAACACTCGCGCGCGCGCGCGCGCGAGAGATTCAATTTCTGCCATCCGTCTGGCATGAACTTGACCTTAAGGCACAAAATCCGTAGCCTGGGTACTTCGGAGTGGTGGCTGTTCTGTTTTGTTCTTTCCATCCCCACTCCCACTCCTGGGCGCACAGGGAGAGGCTCCTCCGGCGATGCTGTCTCACGCTTCGCAGTCCCTTCCTGTCTCTTATTTGTCCCAACTGACTGGACCCCTCCCCAGCCGTGGCCTCCTTTCTCCGGCGCACCAAAATGGCCGTGTGGGCTTCCCACAAACTGAAAGAGATGCCCTTGCTCCCTCCGGCTCGCTCTCTTTCTCCAGGGGCGCACGCAGCTTTAAGGAGGGGTAGCTCAAGGTTATCAAAGATCCCCTCGGGACATCCCTACACTTCCTTAGTCCCTTTTCCCCTCACCCCCTCTAGGCTTTGACCACTTAATGACCTGCGGCTTTTTCCAATTTTCCACTCTAGCCTGAGATCTGCCCACGGGTGGCGAGGATCTAAACGCAAGGGGTCTCTGCCAGGAGAATCGCCCCTGGGCAGCATCCCTCCGCGGTTACCTCTCTCACACTCTGTTTTGTCCAGAGGCTGCAGCCTGGGATTCTCCCGGCCAAGGGAGCACACGTGCCTCCCGTGCAGGCACTCCAGCGATGATGCCCCAGGGCATCGATTCTGCGCACCTAGTTCACGTGCACAGGCACTAAGAAGTATCAGGAAGTGAGTTGACTAAGAATGGAGCTCCCAAAGGGTGCTGAAGCCACAGGCACCTGAGTGCCCGGAGGCTGCACGCTCAGATGATTCTATTCCTATGAAGGGAAGGGCCATTAACCTGAGAATTTGCTCCACCCACGCAGCCAGTCCAGAAACGCTGGCTACCCAACCACAAACCTTTTTTAAAAAAATGGCTATAGTCTGAATTATCTAGATAATTGCCTGCTTCTCTCCAGTTGCCTTGGCTTGTGTGTGTACAAACAGCCCCAACAGTTTTATTTCCTGTTTTGCTGTCTTTCCTCTAGTGGAAGGTGGTGTTAAGTAGTGGTTAAGAGTTCGGACTCTGAAGTCTGGAGTTCCAATCCCTGCTCTGCCACTTTCCAGCTCTGAAACGTTAGACTAGGCATGTAGCCTCTCGGTGCCTCAGAATCCTCTTAAACACACACATACAACAACAGGACAAAACAACACACACACACACACACACACACACACGAGAAATATAATGACCTACCAGACAACAAAGAAAAAGAGAAATATGATGACCTACCTGGTAGGGGTGCAGTGAAAATGAAACGGATGACCTTGAACATCAGAGATGTGGTGAGAATGAACCGTGATGATCCTGGAACACTTAGCACGGGTCAGGCACTGACTGGACACTCAGTAACTGCTCTTCAACCAAAAGCAGCTGAAAACAGAGGTTTTCAAACTCCTTTGGTGGCAAAACTGGACCTCCCGTGACAAGACCGTTTATAGTCTTCATTTATCCCAGTTGGAGTGAATTGTCATACTTTTCACAAAACAAATATGAATTGTGTTGGGTTACTTGGTACCTCCCCAAACCTCACTGGGGCTGTTTGCAAACTAAATCATCATATACCCCATTTTGTCTTTCAAAAAAATTCCAAAATTTCCGATAAGCCTATCTAGCCCCAAGGACTTCAGATAAAGGATTGTGAATTTTATCTGATGATATTAACAATTGGTGTATTGAGATTACACCCCATAAGGACGCACCAAGCTCTATGACAGTGTTTTTCATGGCTGGTAACCCCAGTGCTCGGAATGGTGCCTGGCACTTAGGAGGTACTCGATAAGATTTGTTGAATGACCAAATGAATGCATGAATGGATGAAAAGATTATTTCCAGAGGAAAATGTCAAGGGGAACCAACTGGAAATCCACTTTGAGCCTTCAATTAGAGGATATTGCTCAGGAAAGCCAGGCTCAGTCAGAAGAGCCAGTCCCACTATGGGTGTTGGTGGATTTGGCTGGGAGGTGAGCAGACAGTTGGAAGGAGGAAAACCATGCCTCCCCATCTCCATCTCAGAAGGTGGTTGTTCCACAGACCTCCGATGTGTGGAACTCCACGTTTCCCCTTGTAAACCATGTGTGCATTCGAGTGTGTGCACTCAGATTGAGTCATCTGCAGACACACTGGCAAGGCATCGCCATGCTCCACTCATTAAAAATTCTTTTGAGTCTGTGGAACAAATAAATCAATATTTTTGGCAGCTCTCCCAACATGGTTATTTCACAAAGCAGTGTGTGAGATAAGGAATTTATGAACGATCACATCCCTGTGCCGCCTTTCCCAGTGGGAGAAAGCAAGGCCTGGGATGTCATTCTGGGAAAATCTACCTCCCTTTTATGCCCGGCAAATAATATTTTATGGCCCTGGGTTTATGGTGGTGTTTTAATGATCCGCTGTAGAAAGCGGTTTTCTCTCCAGTCGCTAGAATTTGTCAAGAAGGGCTGGAGGCCATAAAAGAGGGACGGGCCCCAGGGACAAACAGGCTCCATCCCTGAAATAAACTAATAAAGAGCCCCAAGATGTTTACTCCTCCGCCTCAGAGTCAAGACCAGCCGGGCTGCCTGCGAGGGGCCCGCAGATGGAGCACTAAACAGGACAAAGAGGCCGGAAGGGGGCTGGGGGCTCCCTCACCACCACATGGCCACAGTCAAAGTAATACCGTCATATTGTGTTGCCACTGGCCACTGGCCTCGGGGGGGGACAGAGGCTCCTTTGAGGTTAGAGGACATTTTTGGACACAGGGCTGACTCAAGGAGGCTCCTTGAGAATCTCAAACTCTCCTTGCACTGGACCTAATCTCTGTGCTCTGTTAATTTATTCTCCTCTCTATTTTTACACTCAGTGGTGCTTTGCAGCTGGGGGTGTGGGAGGGGGTGCCTGAATGGATGCTTGTTATTTTTGAGTTTTAAGGGACTTCAGGGTCAAACAGACCTGAGTCTGAATGCCAGTTCTGCCTCTTGCTGACCAAGTGACCCTACAGAGGTCACTTCCTTTTGGAGCCTCGATTTCTTCACCTGTCCAGTGCAATATATTAGGGATGTCCTGACAGTTGAGATCCTGTACAAAAGGCCTTGGTTCAGGCTCCTCCGTGATTATTTCAATACTACAAAGGTCTGTCCCTGGGTCCCTGGGTAGATTCCTGAGACAAATGAGTTGCCCCAGGAGGGTAGACGCAGGGGCCTGGGAAAAGAAGAGGAGGCAGTTATACAACAGAATTCAATAAGGACAAGGCCGATAGCCCTGAGATAATAATGAGTAATGAATAACAATAATAACTGCTGGTAACATTTCTTGAACTCGTACCGTGTGTCAGATGCCAGCCCCTGTCTGAACTCCTTTTTTCATTGCTGTGTTTCATCCTTACTACTTCATGAGGTAGATCCTATCGTTAACTGCATCATACAGAGAAAAGAAAATGTTCAAAAGTTTCACAATTTCTATAAACCCAAGCTGTTTTAGTGTTCAAACCCAAGAGTTTGAATCTGACTCTAAATATCAGGGGCTTAACCACCATACTTCACCCATAAATAAAGAGAAACTATTTTTTTAAAAGCTGTCTGCCTGGTTCCCCAAATGTGCCCACACTTCTTGCTCTGGCTTCTCCCATACAAGGCTTACCTTAAGTGGAAAAAGTCTGATGAGAGAAATAGTTTTCCTCTGAAGAAAGACAGTATTCCATTATTTTCCCCTTTTTGTCATACTATTTTTTCTGAAAAGTTATGTTCTCTTAACTGGCATTTTTAAATAAAAAGTAGCTGGCATGGTCAGTCTTGACCCATCCCATATTTCACATGGGCCACTGGGCATCTAGATGTGGGGTGTAGAACACAGATGAACCATTTCCAGGGGGACACAAGTCCCTTTAGTAACATGAAAAAAGTTGACTTTCTTATCTGAGAGGTAGGAGAAAATGCTGGAATTTTTATTTTGTCTTTATTTATTTATCATTTACAACTTTAAATATTGTGTGCCTAAATCTGTGTATTAGGATTTGGAAATCTGATTTAGTTGTTC